ACTTTAGAGGCTTCTGGACTAGTGCTGAGACTCACAAAAGGCCCCCAAGAAAGAAAGAAACCTGTTGTACTTCAGCCGCTGGTATGGCCCATTCCTGTCTGGTTCGGGGAGTTGACTGTCTGTTAGCTAGGTAATGACTTCTCCAGTAGCCTTAACTAAGGCTGAGGCTGCTCTGACTGCGTTCATTTTCCTGAACTCAGTTCACTGACAGCACAAAACCTGAGCTGTATACAGCTTACTGAAGAGGCTGCTATTTAAAAACGCTGTAGAAGCCTTTATTTTTGAAAGCTTTCTTCTGTAATACAACTTAAAGTGCTCTGAAGTGTTCCTGTGCAGTGGCTGGCTGACTGAAACAGCAAGCTGAAAAGTTTAGATGCCACGCATAGCTGCCGCATGCAGCCATGGGGCTGTTTCTGCTTAGTCATTTTTGTTGACGTTGTTTTTGCTTTTGGATTTGTAAAAGTCCCTTGGCTTATATAAAGGCAGTTTTAGGGAGTGTGGGAACGTTAGTAGTTTAGTGTAAACTAAACACTGAAAACTGGAAGCACAACTCATGGTACTGTATTGGCTCAGGTTTGAGGCAACAGTAACTTAGTCCTGGTTTACTGAAAACTAAACTACTAGAGAAGCAGTGTGGTGTTGCGTTGCCAGTTTATGTGGGAGGCTAGCCCTTAAAGTCTGTTCTGGATTTAAACAACTTTGGATTATGGGCCTGTAGTCTTCTGTGTCTCCCGAGTCAGGTATTGATTCAGCAGTGGGATTAAAGAGCTGCGTGTCTAAATAATTCAAAAGCGGGCCGTAGGATTCCTTTCCCGGTTTGCTGCTACTTGGCGCCTACCCAGGTTTGTGCTGCTGCAGCTGTCAGCTGCTGCTGAGCTCTACCTGACGCTGCTTCTGGAGCAAATGTCAGAATTGCTCTGGGAAGAAAAATTTCTCTTGCATAAACTGTCAGAAACGGAGAGAAAACTGGTCTAAATAGTAAGCCATAGTGCAAACTGTATAATAGTAGCAGGAAAGTTGCCCTTAAACTTGGGCACAGAGATTATGGGAATTTTTCAGCATACTCAGGTTTATATTACAAAAAAAATACAGGATATCTCTAGCTCAACAAATCTCAAAGTTATTTTTCAACTTTTTGAGGGAGATGGTTCTCCATAGGTGTGGGATTTCTGCTTTTCTAGGGCTTATATGCTAGCCCTCTCTTCAGCAGGGCTTTGTAGAGGAGCAGCATTACAGGCCTGTTCTTCCCCTCCGCCGCTGGAGGGTTGACCCCTTTGCTTTACGAAGCGTACTCATCGTCCACGTGTCTGCCTAGGAACCGTCTTGCTCAGCCTGCAAGTAGCTGACTGCTGGAGCTGGTGGGAAATGACAGACATAAAGAGCAGGTGTCTTATTTTCCCGAGCGCTGGCGGCTCTGGTTGGCGGCAGAGCAGCCTGTCTGCCTAGCAGCAGGCTTTCCTGAGCCCGCTGCCCGTGCTCCTTTCTTGCCATGTCGTTGCATCGCTCCCTTTGGGATTTTGGTACGTAGATCTGGATAAAGGTTTCACTAATTCCCGAGTCGAGACTCGTGAAGAGATGGGCGCGTCTACTAGCTAACCCTTCTGACGGGCAGTGTTGGCTGTATCTGGGGTAGGGGGTGGAACTAAACTAGGCTTCGGTGTTTGCAAGCTTTAACAAGTGGCAGCTTACCCAGGGTAAAGCAGCTAAGGGGGATGGCTTTTCACATTCCAGTGCAAAACTTCCCTTCCTTTTTTTTACTACCTAGCCATTAGTTGGGGTTCAGTTTAGCATTAAATGAGCTCTAGCATCCAGATTATCTGTATAATTTGCCAGCGGTCATCCTCTATCCTTCTACTGGAGGAGGTCCTTGAACTTCTACCCGTGCTGCAGGACTGGTAACTTGAGCTTAAAGCATTGTTTTACCTTAAGTTAGTGTTTGTGTAAGCACTAACTATTTGAGCTGTGCTACTGTAAAAAGAAAACGCAAAAACCTCTTAGGAGCAGAGAATGTACCATCTCCAGTAAAAGTAGTGACTCCATAATTTGGTTTATTGGTGACGTTCACGTTTCCCTAACTACTGTAACTGAGAACTTTGTCAACGGCGGTCCCTGCTGTCCCCTCCATACCGTTTACAGACTTTCTGCATTACAGAATTTGGCATCCGGCAGTCGTCTTCCTTCTCGCAAGATCTTGTACACTGTAGTGCTGCAGGGTCTTAAGCATGAGTCAGAGCGTAAGAGTTGGCTTTCATTGGGACCAACTGTATGAGAAATGTGTGGAAAACACTTGAGGATAAGGAAAAGCTCTTATTTTGAGGCGGAAGCAGATGTAAAAAGAAATGGAAATGGCACAAATCAAAAAGGCATCTACATGCTGGGCTTCAAAATAGCATAGTGTATTTGGATAGACGGAAGCATGCTGAATTTTTCCAGAATCTGAACTTTGACAGGCCTGTTGATTGTCTTATCAGTGAGAAGTGATAACTAGTAAACAGTAAGGGAGCTAATTGAGAACAGCTTGAATTTTAAGTTTACACAAAAAACTTGGCATAAACAGTTTTTTCTCTGTGGAAATGTAGGAATGAGGAAGCTTGGTTTTTTTGGAGGCTCAAGTACAAGTTTGGAAATCTTAAGGTGAGATGCTTAAATCTAGAATTTGTGCTTTTTCTGTTAATGCCAGTAGTTGTTGTTATACTGGATGCCTGCTGATTGGGGTAACAAAGAAAAGGAAAGTGGGAAAGGAGGAAAACATGGCTTCTGTATCGTAGTACAGATGTTATCATCAAAAGAATGACCTACAGAGGTTAGGACAAAAATCCTCTTTTGCCCAAGCAATAGACAATGTATGTATTATACATGAAAAAGCAGGATACACTCGTGTATAATGTGGTAGAACTTCATGTTTGTTGCTGAAGGGAAGCCTGAAGTAGGGAAGTAGGCGAAGGGCTGGTGAAGCATGATGTTTGGAGACTGGAAATGAATTGATCTGTAGCCCCTCCTGCAGCAACTACTTGAATTCTGGCGTCATCTGATGCCCTTACCTATTCTCTCTGTCCCTTTCACCAAAAATTAAATAGAATTGTCACTCTAGTTCATGCTGTTGTTTCCATAGTGTCTCACGTATGTCAGAGGGTGAGAATTGGCCTGCTTAGCAGAAGTGGGGTCATGTTATGCTGCTTGGTTTTGAAATTTGTGTTTTGGTTAAATAGCCTGCTCTTTCAGGCACTGTCTTGTGGAGGAAAAAACAAAAAAACCATGATTTGGAGCAACATCTCAATGTGTTCTCTCTGTCCTGCACCTTGGAGAGTGAATAGGTGACTTCCTCAATTGAAATACTAAATCACTGCTGAGCAGCTTCTAAGAAAAGCCCTTCTGGTGTACCACTGTGGCAGTCAAACTTTTCTTGGTTCTTAATGTTGCATCGTATGTGAAGAGCTAAGTGCTGATGCAGTTGACTCTGAATTAGCAACGGTCAAGCAAAATCAAGGTTCCTGCCATCTGTCTGTTCAGGACTGTTCTTTGTGAGGACTCCCAGGGTTCTCCCTGCTTTGGATTCAAAGGCTTAGGGCTTACGTTGATTCTTGCGGCTTTGTTTGAACCATGCTTTGAATAGTTAAATTCTTAACTGACAAATGTTAACTATGAGCTTACTGGCAAATCAGTTTGGACTTAATGGTAGCCTTCTTGCCATAAAGACATGAAGTCTCCTCCTGAACTGAGGACCTTTTAAGGACCTCTAAACCACAATGCAGAGCAATAGTGGCATTCTGTGTTCAATCTACACAGAAGGAATATATAGACTAATGGTAGAACCATACATTGACATCTTTAGATAATTGTGGCTGTATAATGACTAACAAAAATCAGAATAAGTGCAGTAGTAATTCTTTAAAAAAAAAAAAAAAAAAAAAAACCCTAACTGAATTTGGAAAAAACTGACCTGCTGAAGGAATAACTTCTTCCCTTCTCCTATCCTAAATATTGAAGACTTATCAGGGCTTTGTACATACTGTTTAAAATCTTAGATTAAGAATTCCAATTTGGTGTCAATGTAGTACTTA